ACCCACACACATACTCTGCTGCCCTCGGTTCAAAACGACGCACGGGGCCTCAGTTTTAAAGAGGAAAACAGTTGAGTCCTACATGCAACAATGAAGACATTTTAACATGTCTGATATCTGTAAAGCCTGTTTTTGTCTGTTCTTTATGAAGTGTGGTGGTTCTTCCTGAACGAGGACATCTCTGATGTCTGAAGAGGGTAAAAAACAAAACAAAAAGTGGGTGTTTTTTCCCTTTTCTGTTTAAGAGTCTCCGTGTCAAGTGGGGCTGGAGGGAGATGTCCCACAGCCTGTTTGCCCACACAGAGACGCTCTGTCCTCGCTTACTGACAGGGAAACAATGGGCCGGCTGTGAGGCTGCCCACTCTGTGCCGTCTCAGGTTGTTGCTCTTCCAGTCAGATTCCAGGACAGTTCGTGTGGCTCTTACTCCCTCTTCTGGCAGGAAGAGCTCCAAACGAGCGTCTTCAAAAAGCAGAGCCAGAATTGATTAAAGATGAGGAGAACCAAGTTAAAGGAAGGGATGATGTCATCGTAGAACAGACCTACTGATTTGTTTATTTGCCTCATCATCTCTCTCATTATTTATCATGCCAAACTTTCTTTTCTTATGCTTTCTTTTCTTCAGGCTCTCAGCGACTTCTGCTCAGATCCGAACTCTTTCGTCCTGAACTCCACCCAGTTCAACATGGGGACCAGCTCAGGTACAGCGGCTCATTCTGGATCTCGTCCCCCCACTCCCCCCTCCTTCTCTCTCTGTCGTGATTTCCATCCCGAATGTGCCTTTGTTGGCAGAATTGAATATAATGACAACATGAATGTTCCTTTGTGTTCTGCTCACTGATCTTTTCTGTTCTTTTGTTTTTTTTTTTGTTTTTTTTTTTGCTGAACCTTCAGATGTGTTGGATTATTACCTGACCTGCAGCCGGCGCATGAACAGTCCATTCCAGCAGGTAATGTGACTGCCTTCACTCCTATGTGCAAGCATGACCACAATAGGGGTGTATTTCTGATAGGTGGGGAGGAGATGATGCTCATACTGACTGTTCACACTCTTTTTACACTACAGTCCCCAAAATAATTTCAGAACAATAACAAAACTAACATTCCTAAAAAGTTATCACCCAGCACTTCACACACCAAAGAGTTAAATGAAGATTTTGTGTTTTTTTTTCTTTCTTGGATTATATATTGCGAAGGCCTCTCAGCTACAATCACACTAGATTTTAACTCAGTCTCTCTAAAAATGACTGAGTTATGGCCTGTTTTGTGTTCTCTAACATCAATTGGCAAATGTCTTTAATAGGGATGACTCCAAACAGTTGTAGATGTAAATTTCTGAAAGTTTCATTAAAATCAATCAGGTTAATCATGAGATATTTTGCTAACTGACAAATATTGCTGACTACCACAGTTCATAAAAGCGTTTTAAACTACAATAATGTGCGACCAGTTAGCACTCACTGTATGGGTTGCAGATGACTCTCAGCTACTATCATGACAGGTTTTAGCTCGATTCTTGTAAAACTGACTGAGTTATAACCTACTTTGTTTGCTAATATTGATTAGCTGCAGCGACCGTCTTTAATCGGATTTACTCCAAACATTAATCAGTTGTACACGTACATCCTTTCAAGTGGATCATGGGATATTTTGCTAACAGACAGACAAATGAACACACAGGCATTAACATCATTAGCTTTTTGTAACAGCGAGCAGTAATGATAAATTTGAGCAATTATGCAGATCAAATGTAAAACTGTAAGAACTTGTTTTTCTTTTTTTTGTTTTTGTGAGTGTAGCTGCTGACCCAGTCTCAGAGGGCACTCTCAAACATCCACTCCCACCTTTCCAGTCTGGACAGAAATGCTCTCCCGCAGTTTCCCAAAGCTGAGGTACAGAACTACTTGTGCTCAGGAAACATCGCTTCTTGTCACTCGTTGCTTTGCTTTTTTTTCCCACATGAAGCACTTCTTTTATTTGTGCAGAAATCTCTCAGGGAGGTCCAGCAGATCCTCAACTCCACGGAGGGAAACTTCCATCAGCTGGTGGCGCTGCTCAACTGTCGCGGCCTCAACAAGGTTCAAACGACAGAAAAAAGCAGCAGCAGATCATTTTTAAAATATTTTATCCCTGGGTTTAATCTGTTGTTCCGTTGTTTTGTTTTAGGACTACATCGACTCCCTGAAAGGCCTGTGTTACGACGGGATGGAGGGGCTGCTCTACCTTTCCCTTTACTCCTTCCTGTCGGCATTGGCCTTCACCGCCATCCTCTGCGCTCTGCCCGGAGCCTGGAGGAGCTTCCCCAGGTGAGCCCGGCATTCGTGTTCGCTCGTCCTCCGATGCACCTCGAACAAAATCAATCTGCTCGGGGGTGAAAATTTTATCTCTTCAACGAGTTGTTTAGGAGTTGAACATATAATGTTCCAGCTTTAAAAGCTTCTAAAACTACAGGCTGAGTCAAAAATCTCAGGACACCCTTTTATTTCAGAAACTAAAGAGAAAATGACTCCAGCAGGTAACAGGTACTATGAGGAAGTTTGGCTTAAAGACACATCCCAGGTGCGTTTCTGGTCCCCACCTGTCGTTTTGCTCCTCAGCATGGCTTCCTAAAAACACTGCAGGATTTCTCAAACATGCATGAATGAGTCAAAGCAAGGCTTTGGACATGTTTTTATGAGAGTATAACATTATAACATGATATAAAACTCAAAAAAGTTGCTTTTACATATTGCCCCTTTAATTTGAAAAGATTCAGAATTAGAATCAGAATCAGCTTTATTGTCATCACACACAACATGAAAGATGAAATGCAGAGCAAAATTGCAGTTAAGAACACTCCATTCAGGAGAAAGACACACATAACAAACATGGGGGGTGAACGGATGAACAGGTCTTGCGCAAACAAGGTTGCACTACCTTTTTGCAGTTTGGAAAAAAATACAAGATAGGTGAGTTAAAAAAAAGGTTGCTCTGATCCTGTATTTACTCATAAATACAGGATCATATGCACAAAAAAACAACTCGCAAGAGCAAGGCAGCTGGGGAGGGGAGGGGGCTGAGGATCAAACACATGGTACGGGGGGTGGGATTCAGTGGAGCCGGTGACGTTCCAGGTTAATACTCCTTGCTGGAACCAATCCAAGACCAGGACCTGCCAGAGTCCAGAGACCAGATCTTATCCTCCCAAGCTCAGTCCCAGAGTTCAGGGTTACCCGGATGATACGGGGAGAGGGAACAGGGGAATCAATCCTTTGTTGACATATCCATCCCGGGAAGTTTTGATAACTGCCGACCGGCCAAGGCCAGCAGCTGCTGGGATCCAAAAGATAAACACAATTGTTTTGGGACAAGTGGCCTCAAATTTCTTGCTGCTTTAGTCTTAACTGCATCTCTGAAATGGCGAAAATGCTGAATGTTCCGAATTTCATTACCTCCTCGCCTCTTTCCGTCTGAAACTTCACCCAGGTGTAATCCTAAATCTTATGGGCACACTGCTGAGCTGTGATTCTCATCAGAATCACGTCCAGTTTGTGACTAAACTCCCCCAGCGTCCGAGTCTGTGCGTTTCCAGTACGGGAGATTCCATCCATTCAGACTAAAATCTAGTATTTTTAACTTGTTTGTAGATGGCTAATTCTTGCATTGTACCTAGAAGTTGCTAAGATACCTAAAGGAGATGAACAAACCAAATTAAATCCAAATGTATAGCTTGTAATTGAAAGAAATTAGCTTTACTGTAGATAGATGTAAAGCATCTACAAAGGTAAAATGTGACAAAACGCCACGTATGTGTACATGTGAGATGGGTAAAATGCAGAGAATTAATTTTCACCACCAGGGGATCAATACAGTGTATGGCAGCATGACGGCTCAGTGGTTAGCAGAAGGTCCTGGGTTCGATCCCCGGTTTGGACCTGGGGTCTTTCTGTGTGGAGTTTGCATGTTCTCCTTGTGCTGCGTGGGTTTTCGCTGGGTACTCCGGTTTCCCCCCACATCCAAAAGCATGTACAAGAGGTTGACTTCAGGCCCAGGCCTCCCTTGAAAAAGACATCTGAGATCTCATCAGGACTTGCCTGGTTAAATAACGGTGAATAAAGATAAAATAAAATAAAATAAAAACAATCCCAAAGAAACAATCATTCGTGCTCCATACAATGACAATAAATTCATCATCAATCAATCAATCAATCAATCAATCAATCAATCAATCAATCAAAGTGACACACAAATGAGCACAAAGATATGTAACGTTGACATCATGAGACAAAAACAATCAATAAAACTAGAAAATATACAGAATCACTCCAAAATCATGTAAAATGAAAACATTCAGAATGACCACAAAGAAAAAAAATATGCAAAATGTTGAGATATGAAAGATCAACCCAATTTTGAAAAGTTGTTTAAAACAAATGCAAATCACATAAATTCATATTTTATTCCCAGTAGAAATAAATAAAGGAATCTCTGTCCAGTTTTAATTTTTAAGAGATTCAATCTTTCAAAAAGTTTTTTTTAGTCCTTTAAAATCTGAGTGAAAAGGTTTTACCTGCCTGTTTTATATTCACAGACTTTGTAACGGTAATAAGAATAAACAAAGCGTATGTTTACAGTTTCTCTGCTCTCGTGTGTTTTTGTGTCTTCTCTCCTTCATGGACGGCGGCAGTGAATCAGAGGAGTACGACGACTCGGACAGCGAGAGTGAGGACCCCTTCACCTCCCATCAGGCACGTAGACAGGCGTCCTCGGGGTCTCAGCGAGGGGCCGTGACCCCCTTCTATAATTACCCGGGGGCCGGGTGGACACCCCCCTTTTCTAGCGCGCCGCCCCTCCCGTGAGTAACACAGACACTCAGAAGACACACAGACAGACAGACAGAAAGACAGACGGAGCATCCCAGATGTTGCAGAACTGGCATCAGACTTGTTTCTGCTCCTGCACCTGCAGGCTCCTCCACACCCAGAAAACACAGACTGACTCAGATTATTCAGTGCAGACACACAAACCTCTTCAAAACAGAGCTGCTTTAAAGGTACAGAACTGTGTAAAAGTCCTAAACCGCCCCTAATCTCTTTACATTCCACCTCCAAGGACCAGGATGTATATCTATTGTTTTTTTTTAACATGGTCTGGATTAATAGTTCTCCAGGTTTTCTGAAGCTAAAGATGTTTTTTTTTATAAGTGAGCTTCTTTTTAATTTTCTGTCCAGTATTCAGCCATGACAGCCAGCTATGTAGTGTCTGATTTGAAATATTAAGAAAGCAGACAAAAAAATAAGTTTTCACCCTTAAAAAAATCAAACGATCTGCATCTAAAAAGTCACGTTTTTTGAAGGAAACAGGAATTAAACCCGAGACAGGACCTGAGCGGTTCATCATCGTCTCTGTGATAAAATTTCAGATCATAAAATTCACAAAAATCACTTTTTTGCTTACAAAATTCTATTATTTTTTATTATTAAACTGTATTTTATTTATGTTTTCCATTGACTTAATTAGAAAACTGGAAACTAATTGTGTCATTTCTGTAGGTTTCTGGTAACAAAGTGCCTAAAATGACATTTTAAATAGTCTTTTCCTTAGTTTAGGACCCTGGATCATCAACAGCTTAGGCCAGTGCTTCTCAAACAGTGGGGCGCAGTGTGGAGTCAGGGGTACGCCAGTGAATTCCTTTAAAAAATGTTTTTTCTTTAAGAATTTATTGGCCTTAAAGAAGCGCTACAAAAAACAGGATACCTCATGTATCTTGAAGTAAATAAAAACTTTTTTTCCTTTGTTTAATATAAAAAATTTTTTTTGAAGTGAACCCACAAGCTAACTTTAATTAGCTAACAAATTAGTTGGAGAAATTCTGTAGGACAGTTGTCTCATTTAAAATGGTCTGTGATAAAAAAAAAAGTACTGTTGGCTTAACAAAATAAATAAATAAATAAAATAAGATAAAATAAAACTCTGAACATGTACAGGTTCTGTACTGAAAATGAAGGAACATAGCAGCCAAAGTCCAAAGAACTTCTGACCAAAACCTCTTTAAAAGTGTAAAAGAAAGTCTGTCTCCTTGGTGGCAGAGTCTAAAGAAACGTGACTCGAGACTTTTGCACAGTGCTGTAGATGCCCGACACAACACATATTGAATTTTACGCATAGCCATCTTCACACAAGCAGAGCAGATAGTCTGAGTGCTAGTGTCACACACACACACACACACACACACACACACACACACACA